CACCTATTGCACCTTTAACCCCAAATTAAACAAATAAAACAAAATCAATCTCTAAGACAAATGTGGAAAAACTACACTAAATACTGAGAAGTCAAATATTTGTTTTAAAATACAAAATGATGCATTAACTGCATGGAGAAGAACGACCAGTACAATTCTACAAAAACTTTCCTCATGTTCCTTTAAATTTGCACAGCTTGTGATTCTAAGCTCTGATGTAAGTGAGCTTAACCATACGTAAGTGCTCTCCCATAGTAAAAGCCTTGTGCCTGTGAGGTGCCGAGTAGGACTGTTTGGCCAACAGGAAATAAACTGTTCGGGCTTTGGGCTTGAGCGGCCCTTTTATCGGCCACTGACCTCACTCTGTTAACCAGCTGGAGCTGCAGCGAGGCTGTAATTCCCTAATAAGGATGTCTATACCTCCCAGCCACCCTCTGAACACTAAATTTGAGCAAGGAGGAGGTCTGGCAGCCGGCCGATCCTCCACATTCCCATAATCCTTTAGTAAGGCTCCTGACTCCATGGCTAGTGTTCAATCCATTCTCCACATTAGGATTGTTTATAGTACAGGAGAAAGAAAAAAAAGTGGTTAAAAAGGAGATAAAGAGTGAAAAAAAGAGACTTGGGTGATGACTTTCATAAGCGCACTTTCTACAGAGAGAGGTTGAGGTGAATGTCATGATGCTTTTGTTTAGTTTACAAAAACAGAGTGAGATGTAGGGGTTACAATGCATGATACAAAGCTATAACATTCTGGCCAGATGCATGTGAAATATGTTAATTAAACAAATATGTCCATGCAATAAAAGCTTTCATGCCAAGTGAAATCATATAGTTATAAATTACATTTAAAGTCAACAGAAGCATTGCGAAAGTGCTGCACAGCAGAAACAAACAAACAAACAAAAAAACAACAACAAAAACAACAAAAAATAAATAACAAAAACTAAACTAAACAAAACTAAACCTCAAAACAAAATAACAAACAAACAAAAAAAGAAAAAAAGAGCAAAAATAACAAACAAACCACAAAAAAACAAAACAAAATAAAAAATAAATAAATAAAGCACAAGAAAACATAACGAAATAAGACAGAGAAGTACAAGAGGACAATAAAAAGGCATATAAAATCATGCATATAAAGTATATATTCCAAAAACAGTTTTTTTTTTTTGAGAGGATTTTCAAATCTCATTAGCTCTCAAATATCATTTGCACTACTGTATAATCAAAGTTGCAGCATCACAGTTGGAAGCATTTGACATTAATTGAATATTTGCTGTGAACAATGTGAATTCGTGAAACATGAGCAGAAAAGATTTTGTTTGTAAAATCATTCCTTTCCATTATTATGTACAAAGAATCATTTTATAGTTTATACAGGATTTACACATTCTGCTTATTTCATGAATGAAGCCCATTTTATGGAAAAACATCAGTATTCTGCTAAATTTTTTGCATTTTATGTTCCACAGAAGAAAAGAAAATCATATGGGGGGAAATAATGACAGAATTGCTATTTTGGGATGAGCTACCACTTTAAATCCACTGTTTTGCAAATATTTTTTTACAGAAAATCAAAGAGAAAGAGCTCCATAACACCACACCGGTTGATCTCAATTTATGAGAATCCGTCTCTGCTTACATTGTGTCCACCCTTCTGCTCAAGATTAGAGAGAATACCGGCCCTCTGGTCCTGCAAGTGAACCTTCCACAAAGCACATCCCACACTCACAAACCCTTTTCATGCAAAATAAATCAAAAGCAGCTTTGAGGTGGGAATATAAATCAGAGGGCTTGGGTTATACAAAGATGGCTGAACCTAACACTCGCCTCAAGGAAGACACTCAGCATGTGTGTTTGAGTGTATAGGTATATATTTATCTAGGACTGAGTGTAGTTGTACATATGTGTGATTGAATATGTGTGTGTGATCTTTCAGACCCCAAGGGGCTCAAACTGCTGGACATTTTGATGTTGCTTATTTTAATGTATAATGAGTTTGTACCTTACAGCGATGCTGCCAAGTGTGTGTGTATTTGGAAACGTGTTTGTGTTTAGACTGTGGACAAGCTTTGTTTGGACTATATTCTGCCAAAATCTGCCACTGTGTTATTTATGATTTAAAATATTCCTTATAAGGTTTTTGCTGTTAGCATGATTCGAATGTATTATTATTGGATACCTGACGATAATATTTTATGAATGTTTAGCCATTACGAGAGTGCCTTCATACCATTAACTAAAAAGTACCTAAATGTGTCAACAGAATTACCATGTTTGCCATGCCATGTATTCTTTGAATATCTAGGTGTACATCATAGTATTTCTTATATGATTTCATTATTTTACTATGGTACCACCACAGTACTTTTTTTAACCTGCATTAAAACATACAATATAAATGTTTTTAGGAAGATGGTTTATTTATGTTTTACTGCTCAGTATATCTTGCTTAATCACTATTTTAAAGGTGTATGCTATTTTTTGACTGCATAAAAATACCATACTATTTGCAGATATTTAGGAAACATGCTAAGTTCATATACTTGTTTCTCCAACAAACAATGCTACAGCCAGTTATTTTGTTTTGAAATGTGAGTTCTGTGTCGGAATGTCTGTTTTTGTGTTGGTCAGTATGATTCCGCCCACTACCAGTTTACCCAATATTATTTTGACAGCCCAGGATGCCAGTTGGCGTAAAACAGCATGTTGCAGCAATGGAAGCCAGCAAACAAACTAGGTCAGAGATCGCAAATTCTACCTGATTAAAAAGCCTTGGCATCCACTGAAAAAGCTCTATGAGCACAGGAACATTAAAACACAGATAAAAGAACTCCTCAACTTACAGTGTAAGGTTTGTTGCCTAACATGTCAATTGAGTTTGTTCGTTGTTGCATCTGGCAACCTGCATGAGCGTCGAGTCTGAGGGTGGGAGAAACAACGCTCTCCAATATTTGAATTTGAACTGCAGTATCCATTTCAACCACTAGCTGTCAATATTACAATATTACTGCCAGGCAACGTAAACAATGCACCATCACAGTAATTAGAGCACATTATTCTGTTGGGTTCAAGAGCCATGTGCAAAAACATAAAACAACATTCAAAACCCATTTTACTTCTGTAATGACATTGCGTAAAACTAGACTTTCAATTAGAAAAACATGTTTTATCCATTACAGTTTATTTTGATTATGAAATTGGTCTTAATGACAGGCGGTTGGAGAGGAGGGGTGAAAAATAAGAGGGCTTGGCAACTTTCCTAATCCTGAAAAGATTACAAAAACAACATTTTAAAAGAAAAACCCTTGTGTGCCAGTGAATCATGTACCTTATTATGACCAGGAATTTGCATCAAGAAAGTAAATAGGGTTAATTTTTGATTTTAAAGGAAGGTGTGCACCTGGAAAACAATCAATCATCATTGAAATATGTAATATAAACAATTAAATATTTGACTAATTTCCAATAAACAAAAAACTCAGGCCAGTGAAAATTAGAAGTGACCTGATGGCCTACACAATACAACACACTGAAAACACTGTAATTTCATTCCTGTCAAATGTAATATACTGTTATAACTAGGGCTGCACGATAAATCGCATGCGATATTTAATGCGAAATATCGCATGCGATTTATCGTGCAGCCCTAGTTATAACCACTGCTACAGATAAACAAGAGCAGCTGTTCAAACACTTTTGAGAAGTACAGTGACCGTACCATGGTACAATGATGGTATTACCATGGCTCTCAATATATACACTACCTTAGAAATGCATGATTGCCATTTTCATATCTGATACTACTCAAATTCTATGGTAGTACTAAGGTACTTCTTTTTTAGTGGTATGAAGGCTTGTAATAGCTGAACATTCATTAAATATTACAATCTTCAGGTATTTAATTTAATATATGCATCAAATAATACAGCAAAAACCTTATAAGGAATAATTTAAATCATAAATAACAAAATAGTAACACAGTACTTTGATGTACACATAGATACTGAATTATATTAATATACTATTTACTTGGTATTCCAAGCTACTTTGAATAATACATGGCAGGGCAAACATGGTAATACCGTTGGCACTTTTAGTTATTTTTTAGGTATGAAGGCACATTTGTAATGGCTAAACATTCATAAAACATTACTATCTTCAGGTATTTAATATATCCATCAAAACATGCAAACAGCAAAAACCTTATAAGGAATAATTTCAATTATAAATAACCCAGCAGCAGACTTTAGCAGAATATATTCCAAACAAGATTTGTACAGTCTAAATGCAAACACATTTCCAAACACACACACACGAGCATAAACAAGTCAGTAGCATATTTTAGCCTTGTTTAGCCTCCAAATAATAGTAATTTTTGTAGCGTCTGCGTAGAATCATGTATGATCTTTGGGTTTTATGGCTTAAGAGACCCTTTTAGCTTTTGACATTTGCATATAAATTACAGTCCTGGTCACAGACTTTACACTTATATGGGTGCTAAATGGCCAATGGTTCCCCCCCACTATCAAGTGAAATACTGCCATTCTTTTACTTTCTCTCTCTTTTCCTTACTTTGTTTCATTCTGTATATATGTGTTTTGCTTAGTTAGTTATATGTTAGATATAGTTTCATTTATTAAATCCCTTATATTCACGATCGATTGCCTCTGTTTGCTGCTCACAATTCGAAGTCAATGAATGTTTTGAACCCTTGCTACATATGTTAAATTACTGCTAGCACTGCATAAATAAGGAAAGTATTCTTCCTTGGCCAGGAAAATAATCTTTCTTTGAATTGATAAATGATTATTTTGTCTGCTCGGTGGACGGACAGATCAAGTAATGGTAATATTGATTCTACTACAGTTAATTCGAAGATCTAATCTAAATATTTATTATTAATCATAACCAGTTATAATTAGTCATAAATATTTCCCTTTTGAGCTGATTTACTACATTTTGGTTATTGTCTAAAGTGATATAGGATGACTTACCTTGGCTGCTCCGATCTGCTCTTTCCGGAATCTCTCCAAGGGCGTGATCAGAACATCATCGGCATTCTGTATCTGCAATCAGTCAAGCACAGACGCAAGGTATTTCATGAGATAACAGTCTTCATTAAACTACATTAACTTCTGTGAAGTTCACAGCTTGAATTAAAGTTAGAAGGAACATGTAGCATTAACACCAAAAGCTGAGAAATTTTAACAAGCTCACTATTAAGAGCAAATTTTTGGTGCGAGTTTACATTTTTGCAGCAGGCTTGTGAGAACATTCCCACTGACACTTCAGAAGAGCAGTAATGATTAGTGTGATAAAACTTCATTCATCAGTATTCATTTAATACTAGAACTCCAGAGCACACTGCTACAGTTCACTCCACAGACTATTAAAATGAGGAAAATCAGCAAGAACATGAACACTGTGAATCTGAGCAATAAAGAAATAAGAAAATGGCTTTTTGTTTGCAGGCGATGAAACACACCGACGTTGTCAGAGCCAAGAGAAATATGGCCATCAACGAGCAGAGAAGGATTTTTTCATACACAGATACAGAAGGCACACATTCAAGATATTGCTAGGCGGTTTCTAGGGGAGTTGCTAGGTGGTTGGCACAGTGCTCTGGGTGGTTGCTGGGGTGTCTTAGGTGGTTGTTAGGAGTGTTGCTAGGGTGTTGTTACTAGGTAACTGTTACAATATTGTGAGTGGTTACTAGGAAATAACTACAATGCTGTAAGGTAGTTGCTGTAAGGTGTTCTGTGTGGTTACCAAGGCATTGCTAGTGTGCTCCTAGAGTGTTCTGGGTGGTTGCTAAGGTGATGTTAGGATGTTGCTAGGTGGTTGCTATGGTGTTGTGGGTGGTTACTAAAGCATTGCTAGTGTGCTGCTAGGGTATTCTGGGAGGTTGCCTAGGTGATGTTAGAGTGTTCTGTGGGGTGTTCACTCATGCTGCGTCCCAATTAGCCTACTTATACTATATATTTATTTGTGAAGAAAAAGTACATACTTTTGAGTATGTAGCAGAATAGTATGCAAACTTTGGGACATACTACTTTGTCATAACTGTCTTTAACGGACAACTGTGTTGCTTAGTTAAGTGCATTCTGTCACCATTTAAACCGCCCTGTCAATCGTCTTGTCACATTAACATAATCTACATTTTGTGTAATTTGATTTCCTACCGTATTGGAGAGAAATGAAGTGGCATGTTGATCTGCCAATCGTGGGTCTTTCGTGCCGAGAACTCTGCTCATGTGTTTGCATAATGATGATGCATTTTAAAGTTAATGACCAAACGTATCTTACTAAAAGTTCACAATGTTGCTGCAGATTAAATATAATGTGGATAATATTAAATAATATTTTTTCATCCTGGTTATACATTGATTATTTATCACTCAAACCCCTTTCTCTACCTGTCCGTCGGTCTCGCATATCCAACATTTTTTAAACACATTTTATGCGTGTTTGTAGTTCTAATCTAAATAAATCCTTGCACAAAGTGTAGTGGACAATATTAGCCATTAGAGTGTACATCGATCTGCACTTCAAATTCTAACCCGTAGTAGTAGACCATCTGGGAAACTCTGGCATACTCATTTCAACAAAAGGGCCTTTCTCACCGCGGGAACCTTTTCATAGTACCAGAACTAATTGTGGAACTACCCACTTTTTGGCGTTTTCGCACCGCCGGAACTGGGTGCGATTTTAGTACCGGACTGCCTTTTTCAAGAACCAAATAGCTCCTACTTCGGAACAGGGTCTAACCAGCACAACTGGTACTACCCGTGACGTAAGTAGACACTGATTGGCCAAAACCGTACGAAAACGCCCTCACCCGCCATGATTTAAAACGCTGTGTAAACATACTGTAAACATTGTGTCAACTTTAAAGTGGTGTGAAAGGCCCTATACTACCATTTGGGCCATACTAATTCTATTTTCGAATAATATTTATGCATATGTGAATTGGGACGCTGCAACAGGCTTTGTAAAGATGTTGCTAGTTGGTTGCTATGGTGCTCTGAGTGGCTGATAGGGGAGTTGCTAGGGTGTTGTTGCTAGGCGGTTGTCATGATATTCTGGGTGGTTACAAAGGCATTGCTAGTGTGCTGTGTTCTGGGAGGTCACAAAGGTGATGCTAGGTTGTTCTATGGGAGCTCACTCAGGCTTTGCAAGGACATTGCATGATTTTTCATGTTGTGCCCAAGAACAACTGAGAGCAGCGTCCTAATTCACTAAAGGTCAATGGTGCCTCTGCACATGGTTGATGAATTATGTCTTATGGCAGTAGGCATGATTGGCTTCCTGTAGTGCTTTCTGTTGCACAGCTGAATCAGCCTACTTCAGCACATGCTGTTCATTCTTACAGGCATGTCATGGAGGGGGTGGAGAGTGCTATCCATGACGTTGTCCAGCAGCTTGGACATCATTCTCCTCTCCTCTACAACCTCCAGATGCTTCCGTTCCTCTCCAATGAAAAAGTCTGCTTTCTTGATGAGCTTGTTCATCTCCAGTGTTACACCCAGAGCCCCAGCTCACTACCGTGTAGAACAAGGCAGTCCCGTCAACAGACTGAAAGAACATGTGCAGCTACACACATTAAAAACTGAGATTTTAAAAAGATAAAGTGTTGTTTGTCCAATCTGTCGTCAATATGAACCCCAAGGTCTCAAACCAGGGATATGATATATGACATGATATTACATTATAAAACAGTTCCAGTCCTTGATTCTGATTGGTCAACAGCTGTGTTTTCATTAAATAAACATTGCAAAAAGTAGCTTTAGAAAGAAATATTTTATTTGACAACATAAAATTTATTACACAAACTTTTAGGCTCCAACTCTTTTTTTTTAACTGCTGCATCTGAATTGGTATTTACAGACTGTTTACTGCAGCTCAGAGGAGACATGAATGCATTTACACTGCAATTTAAATTGCATAAATAATGCAGTGAGATTAATGGGTTTTAAATGGTTATTAAAGGGATAGTAGATAATATTTTCATCAGACAAATTGAGCAAAGACAGACAATAGTGTGTCAAAAATAAATTAACTTCTTATTTATTGAACTGTTGTACAAAATCAATATCACATTTGCACTTGTGCTATTCGGGACAAAAACAGCGCTTGTGTGATATTGCACTCGTTGCTCGTGTGATATTGCTTATGTCATACGATATAAATACGAGACAAAAACTCATGCAAGGACATTTATGCCCCAATATCTTGAATTTTAGGGGCATATAACTGCATTCTATAGGCTTCATCATGCAGAAAGTTGTTGTTGCCCTGCTTCATGTTCGTCACCAATCAGCTGTATGATTTATGAAATATAACCTATGTAGGTCTGGGGCAGGGCGAGCATGTTAAATGTGTTACTATTTTAACACATTATTTTATTCATAACTAATTAATTTAATTAAAGGGGTCATATGACGTTGCTAAAAAGAACATTATTTTGTGTATTTGGTGTAATGCAATGTGTTTATGAGGTTTAAGGTAAAAAAAAACACATTATTTTCCATATAATGTATATTATTGTTTCTCCTCTATGCCCCACATTTCTGAAACGCGTCGATTTTTACAAAGCTCATCGTTCTAAGAAAGCGAGGTGTGCTCTAATTGGCCAGCTATCCAGTGCGTTGTGAATGGCTGAATACCTCAAGCGTGTGACGGAAATGTTACGCCCCTTAACATACATTATGAATGCGCATGCGTAAGTGTGCAGCAGCTTGTTACAGTCGCTCTCCTTCTTTTCATAATTTACTTATTATTTATCTGTCTTTCTTTTAAAATTTTTATGGTAACTAGTAATAAGCTTTTCCCTCTCTAATCATGCGATTTGAGAGAGTTTTTATATTAAGTTTTGCCATGGGACTTCTGTTTTTAACTCTCAGAGTGACCGGCGTGCAGCAACATGGTGCCGGCTCTTTTGTTTACACCAGGGATCAGCTGATCGCATTGAAACCGGCCGGAATTTTTGATCCAACTTTGTATCAGACTTTAAACATCCCTGATGAGATACGAAGGAGGACAGTGAGAGGATGCAGAGGTGGAAGAAAACAGCGGATATATATTTGATCTAAACTACCATTTTCACTGGTATAGTTTTATATTATTATTTATATGTGTTACTTATTCATTTTTAATTTTATTGATATATAGGTATATATTTATTCATTTTATTATCTTTTTCTTTCTTTCTTTCTTGAGAGCAATTGTAACATGGAAAGCAATTTCCCTCTGGGATTAATTAAGTTTTTTGAATCTTGAATCTTGAATTTGAATACTGTGATGCCGTCTCCCAGCAGGACGAGACTCAGTCCAACTGCTCTGCTCGTGCACATCCCATCATCGGTTCTCTTTTAGCAGTAATATAATATAATATAATATAATTTGTCTAAATGTAAAAATATATATTTTTTAAATATATGTAAAAAAGTAAACCAGAATATATAAGCTGCATCAAACCTGCAATACTGCAAACCTGCAGTATACAGTGTATTTACAATCTTTTTAATGCCAAATACTGCTTAGTAAGATTCCTTCAAGTAATTTATTTTTTTTTGCAGCTGTCATTGAGATGAATGGGTAAGCTAATGGATATTCCTCTCTCCAGGTATTAAAAACCTCCTTGCCCAAAACATGCAAACATACCAGGTCAGGATGCACATCTGCGTATGTGGAGCAGACCTGCCGTGGCAGTGTGACATGACACTCGCTTTGATTAACAGAGTTATTCCACACCGTGAGGGTGTGTGATAAAGCTATAACACAGCACATAATACCTGGTCTAATTTTAGAGAGACCTTTCTCCTCCACCATCTCTGGAGAGCACCGGTTCACTAAGAAGATCCGGTTAAATAGAACAATTCGTTCGCGATTCAGACATTACTAGACGAGACAAAACCAATAAAACCAATTACAAACGAGGCATTTGTTGCATCCAGTGGGGACATAATTACTGATTATAATGATTTATACTGTCTTTTTACACGTTGCGTATCGCGCTGTGTAAATATAAAACCATGTCTGCATTTGTGATCGGAGAAACAACAAA